TTATTATTATTATTATTATTATGGCAAAAAGCTTAATTAATTAGGGTAACATGTCAATTGGCATATCGAGAGGTGTGGAGCATCCTAAGAGCTCCACGTGGCAAGACATATGAGATTAAGGACCCACATAATTTTTGTCAATATTTTATTTATTTGTTTATTTTTAAGAAAAAGTCAATATTTTAAATTGAAAGGAAAATGGATGTCTCATTTTCTTTGTAATTTATCTCTACATATTTATATGCTTTGTCTTCTCTTTAATGTTTGGTAATGGTGTTGGCCGGCCTTCTTTATTTTTTTACTTTTAGAAAAAGATATATAATTATTTAATATTAGTAGCAATAATTGTTCTAATTAATTTAATTGAGAGGCACTTTTTCTTATTAATGATGTAATTCTGTTTAATTATTTTATTAAATCAGCACATACAACTCCGTCTTTGAGTAAAATTGAATCGAGTAGTTATGATTCGATTCTCTTCGAGATTAATTAGAGAAAAAATTATTTTAATTTTTAGATTAGATGGAACTTTCRTTAGATTGAAAATTCAAATTTGTGGATATCATATGTTTAGAYTTTCGTGTGAAGAATACATAATTAAAATGGATTTGAGAGATCCCTATTTACAAATTAAACTTGGATGTTTGATTATCATTGAAATGAGATATCTTTCATGAACATGTAGACACTTCAAAAAAAAATGTTGTGGTATAGAAGAATCGTGATAAAGATGAAAGCATTTTTAAATAATTGACGATATGGATCAAGACTCTTGAAAGGTAGAGTCTCTCGTGAACTTGGAGGAGTTTAGCGAGTTTACAATAACTTTTTTTTGGAATGATGCAAATTTAAAAGTACTTTTTAGTCAATTAAAAATATTTTTTTAATCTTTAACCACATATTGAAAAAGTAGTTTAAAAATCCTAAATATACGTCAAAAATATTTTCAGAGGAAGTACTTTATATGATGCTTCTTCTAGTCTAAATGTCTTTAATTATATGTGCTTCACTTAAAATCACATTTTTCTAAAAAATCATCTCAAACTCGTTATAATTGAGATACGCATCAAAACATCTCATTCCAACATTCGTGAATATAATTCACACGTATCGTTAAAAAAAAACTAGTTTTATTTTAATTAAATATAATATCGAATGGATCAACGAAACGTGTCCATACATATAAAAATCAATCCTCAATTATTCTATCACCCATGTAAACAAACTAATTATCATAAATTATTTTTATAAACTAAAATGAAAGTGACCAACTTACAATTATGAATTTGGGTAAGCAAATAATCTAATCTAATTAAAAAGTGTTGGCAGGTTGTTTTTTTTTTCTTTTGCTTTTCTTTTAAGAAAGATTCTAAGACAGCATTTGAACAACAAAAAACAACCTTTATTTTTTGCGATATCCGAGGAGGGATTGGGAAAAGAAAAGACCGAAAGTCAATAAATTTAAATTAGAAAAATGTAATGTTGTTTAATTACATAATTAATTAAAATTAAGGTGAAAAGGGGAAACAATTGCTGTCCATTCCACGTTGGAACTCCATATTCACTTTGACTTCTTACTGTTCATTGTCCCTAAAGTAGGTAACCAAACCCATTATATAATAACATACACTAATTCACCCTCACGTTTCTTTAATTTAAAGTTTCGGATGGTTGGACTMTRTTTACTTATCAAGAATTGAAATGAGAATGAATCAAAATGAAAATTAATCGGAGTCAAATCAATAGAAATGAGAATATATTATTCTTTTAATGTTGTTTATCAGAAATTTTATGGAATTGAAACTAGAATTCCTCTCATATTGTTTACTAAATCTGTCTGGAATCAGAATCGGGATCAGAAATATAATATATTTTTTTCTAACTAATTACACATATATTAATGAACTAATTTTTTAAAATTAAAATAGTAATCTCAATATTTTAAAGTATTGGAAAACCCTTCATTACAAATTTCATTATAACAGTAACTCTTTAGAACATTAGAAGCAAAACTGAACCAAATTCTTAGATTACAGGCAAATTTCGAACCAAATAAATTATTCAAAAKACTTATAACATATGAAAGATTCTCTTAAAAAGGTGTGATAAAAAACTTTTGAAACGTTAGGGGCAAAATTGAAACCGAACTCGGGGCATTTCTTTTTTCTTTTTTYTAATAAATTTGGTGGATAAATAAGAGAAAAAGGAAGGAAGTAGGAAGGGGAGGTGGAGGTGCACGTGGAAGAGAGTCAAAAGGAGAGAAAAAGTCAAACATTAGGGGCAACGTGGAGGAGACTTTCGGAACAAAATTATTAAACTAACAATAATAATAAATTAAATTAAATTAATAATMACAAAACCCACACGGTTTTCCTGACAGGAAAAAATCCAAAGCACAGCCCGACAAACAGCCGCGACCAGGTTGTCCAAAACCTTACTAAAGAATATTAATTTTGATGACAAATTCGTCAATTTTTGTTCACTTTTTTTTTTCGCTATGCTACTTATATCTTTCAATAAATTGATATTGTTACAGGTGGAATTAGAGTGYCTTCCACGTGACTTCTCGTTCGAAAACAAGTGTTCGAACTTTAGTTAGGACACAAGTGCTCGGGCTTTAGTTAGGACAGGAAAAGTCTAACTCAATATCAACTTGAAAAATACAGATACCACCTATGTAAAAATTATTGAACACCGGAGTACGAAATGCCAGAATGATGGGACAACCATTTTCCTAAAATTCTAATATAAAAGTGGGATCTCCTCACATATGCAATTCCTAGCAACTTAAACTAAGCTCATTTGACACCAACTCGAACTAAATACTAACTTAAGCTTAAAAGTATATATGCGTGGTCGAGTACTACATTGGTGCAAAATTCTGTTTGCAGATCATCACTTTTGCTTATAGGACAATCATACTTGGAATTAGTAGTCAACCTTTCACCTCRTTCAAAATCCTGTATCGACATATACATATGAACATATAGCTGATATAAACATARTTCAACTGACTAAATTACATTATTTATCTCTCTAAACACATTGTTAGAGGTTTGAGTCATCTCATTTCTTTATTGTATTAGAAAAATTTGAGCATATAAACCCACCCAGCTAAGATACTAGTAATCTTATTTAAAACTCAACTGTATTATAACTTAATTAATTAAGGTGTTAATTTGAACATAACTTTGTGAATATGATATCTATTGTCATCTAAAAAGTCGATGGTTTAATTATCGCATTTACAGTTGTAAACTACAAAGAAAAAARACTCAAGTGGTTAAGACATTGACAGCCTCCCTAAATGTTAAAAAAACACTCGAATCTTCATCCCCATCTCTCGTTCGAATTAAAAAAGAAAAAAAAAATAATCACGTAGATTAGAATCTTTATCTCCATATTTAAATGGACGTAATTGTTATATTGATACGATTTAACTAAAGAACATTATATGAAAATTTTAAAACTACATCGAACAAAATTAATACAACTAGTGTTGCATATATATAACTATCTTAATCAAGACATTTACGTGTAGTCTCTCTTTAAAGTTATACGGGTCGAGATCAACGCATTTTTATTTCAATTGTAACACTTTTTCTGTGAAAATAAAAATAAAAAAGCTTAGTGTTATTATAAAGTTTAATATGTATGTAACATAATATAATTATATCATAAAATAGTTTTCACAATTTACTTGAAATATAGAGCCACCAAAACAAACACACCTCTCTCTATATATAGTTATTTTAAAATCAAAATACTAAAAATCTTATTCTATATTAATGATAAAAGTTGAGACCCTTTGCAAAAAAAAACTAAAAACTTAAAATAAAATTTGAGACAATATTATGATAGATTAAAGAAAAAACTCTTGCCAATTTGGTCAAATAGTGCTCCATCAAAGTTTTGATTTTTCTCATTCAAATTTGGCATGTAGATTTGTTCTTTAGAATTAATATAAATTAACTTGTCAATTTCATAGGAGTATATAAATCCAAAATTTCTAAATATAATAATTTACGTATTCAAATACAAACTTTTCATACATTATTTAAATAATAATGTTGAGGTGTTTACGGGTGAATAGTTATCTTACTGCTRACTATTATTAGGAACTTGACGGTTAATTTTTTTTTTTGAAAAGGGAAAAATCTATTTTCTCGCTTTCCCTTTACATTTTATGTGGTTAGTTCATACCTAGTGATCGGTATATACACGTAAATAACTCTTACCATTTATTCTTATAGCACATATCTTTCTCTCCACTAAACCGGATGTGAGAAAATTTATGCTGCTMTATATCTTTTTTTAAGGGGGAAACAACAWTATTACAAATCAAAAAATCAATATTACAAATCAAGCTGATAAAGTATCCAAACACTCAGAAACAAGAAAACCCGTCATTTCCGTAGGCCAATCTTCCATCCATATCCTCGATTCCTTCTGCCTCAAAGCATGTCTCGCAAGCTGATGTGTTGCGCCATTGTCGTCTCTTCGCGAGAAGTTGAAGGTAATTTGTAATAATCGATTCGCARTATCTCTCTTTGTTGTTGAAATAATCAATCCCGTTTCTAAATGATCGTCCATGTATTAAAAATAATGTGGGGTCCACCATATTAAAAAACTATTTATAAAAATAAAATTATAGTACGGTAAATAAAGAGARTATGGTACTCGATAGTATTAATTATAATTTTTTTCTGAGTGTAATACTATATTTGCATCCAATAATTAAAATTCAAACCGTACAACCCAACCCATACTAGATAAGCTCGAATTTGTTATAACTCTCAAAGTAAACATACCCTTAATATTCCCCAAATTCTTGTCTCAAGTTGTCCTTTAATTAATTGAATTACAATCACCATTACTATTATTTAAACAGAACCAGAAAAAAAAAAAAAAAAACTCTCTCTCTCTTTCTCTCTCTAGGTCTTGTATAAATAAGAGATTTCTCCCCATTGGAACATGGATACAACTCTAAACCATAACCCTTTGATTATCATCTTCAAACCATAGCCTTATTGTTCTTGAAAGTTGAAACCATGCCTTGTCCCACAGCCATGAGAACCAAGAAGGCCAAAGCTGTCGGAATTCCGACCATAGATCTCTCCGAAAGCAGGGCAAGAACATCCAAGGCCATTGTAGAGGCCTGCGAGGAGTTTGGATTCTTCAAGCTTGTCAACCATGGAGTTTCTGATCAAGCCATTGCCGGACTTGAACGGCAGGGCTTCGATTTCTTCGCCAAGCCGGCCCCGGAGAAGCGCCGCGCTGGCCCTGCCGACCCCTTCGGCTACGGCTGCAAAACCATCGGCCCCAATGGCGACACCGGCGAGCTCGAGTACCTTCTTCTTCGCTCCGACCCGGCCGCCATTGCCGAAACCTCCCTCTCCATCTCTAGCGACCCTCCTTCTTTCAGGTACGTATACATGGATTAAAAATTTTAGAGAGAAATTAAAAGTTAAAAGAGAAACTATATATCTGGTATTATATATATATTTTTTGAATTTACCACAAATTAAGGGGAAAATCAATCCCTCCCTTTTCCGACTTCACCCCATTTCATAGGACTMATGTCAAAGTTTGGAAGCTTATTAGAATATTTCGAGAGAGTCAATAAATATAATTTCGAGAGTTCAATTTCGAGAGAGACAATATTGTTTTAGTTAACCAATATCAAAATTTTGTTTCTTATTTTCTGTTTTTTTTTTGTTTTTGTTTTTGAGTGAAACCACTTGGCTCTAAAAGCTGCAAAGATTCATCTTTTTTATATCAAAACGACATTGTCCTTTAAGGAAAAAGGACAATATTTTATCTTATGATAAAATATAGTACATTGGGTCGTTATTGACAGGAAAATAATTAAGTATATGTCATATTATTAACAAATATTAATATATAGCATATATATAATAAGGGGAAGGGACAACTATATTACTCTAACTATGATGTAATTTACTAGTTAATATTTTTATATTCGTGAAAAGTTTAGTCTCAACATTTTGTTTTTAATCATAAGTTTCTTAAAAAAAGAAAAATATTATTGCCAAGTGTAGTCAGATTTTGGAAAACGCCAAAGATTAGACTAGCTTATAATTTSTTTTCCCAAAGTCCTCTTTCAAGAATTATAATATAATATATAATCTCGTAGTTTCGAACATTTATATTATATATCTTTAGAAATCATCGTTTCAGGTCAACAATTTCATCTTTTAATTTTATTTCTTTTAAATGTCGATAAAATATCGACAAATATTTATATAAATAAGTTAAAGGTATCTTTATCCCCTAAGTTATGCTCGGATTGACATCAAATTAAATCTTTCGGTTCATAAAAATATCAATTGACATTTTAGCCCATAAATAAGAACTATGCATTAATTTTGGTGTTTTTTATTTTTTGGTTGTAGCTATGCTGTAAATGAGTACATTAAAAGTGTGAAAGAATTGGCATGTGAGATTCTTGATCTGGTGGGTGAGGGTCTATGGTTACCCAACAAGTCCATCATCAGTGGCTTAATCAGAGACGTCCAAAGTGATTCAGTTCTGAGGATCAATCACTACCCTGCAGTCAAGCATACAGAAGATTGGGAACTCTCATCAAAATCTCACCCTTCAAACAATACCAGGATTGGATTTGGGGAGCATTCTGACCCTCAGATCTTGACCATCTTGCGATCCAACGACGTTGGTGGCCTCCAAATCTCCTTGCCCGGTGGGTTGTGGGTCCCCGTTTGCCCCGACCCCTCGGCGTTCTACGTCTTGATTGGTGATGCCTTTCAGGTAAATCTAAACCATCCATCTGCTCATTTTATTTCTGATGTCTCATTCAAATATCTTATTAATACGCTCATCCTATAAATTTTGTATGTTGAGATTAATTTAATGGTTGTAGTCTTTAACGTTGATTATTTAGTGAAGTGGTGACGAAAAACTGACATGATACGATGTGGAAGCTGATGTGATACCATTTTAAGTTTTTGTATATGGTCACACATGAAATCACAAAGTACTATATCAGCTTCCACCTATGATATTAACATTAGCTTTTTTGTTACTATTTAACTAAAAAATTAATCTTATCACTAAATCCGACTCCTTAAAATAAAAGTAAAAATACTAATGAATTTTAGTCATTAGCAACAAATTTTTATAAATTGAATTATTCAACGCAAGTACCTATTTTATGTATTAATAAGTGTTTATCACATATAAGTGCTTGAAGTCATATGTATTAGGTCGAATATCGAATTCTATGAAAACATTAAAGAGCAATTATATTTTAGAGAAACTGGGAGCTCTCCTTTTAACTATTATGTAAGAAATGTGCATTTCAATATTGGACATTAGACATATAATAGTTACGAATCGAATCTCTTTAGAAAGGAGATCTTTTGTCTGTCTCATAGAGCCTGTTCTAGTTCTCTTACGAAACTTTCGTATCGAAATTTGTGTTTTTGTTAATAAAACAGGCAATGTCAAATGGAAGATTTGTAAGTGTGAGGCATAGGGCAATGGCAAACAACTCAAACAAGCCAAGAATGTCAATGATGTACTTTGGAGCACCACCATTGAATGCATGGATTGCACCTCTATCAGAGCTGATGCTCCCTCATCACCCGTCTATGTACCAGCCCTTCACGTGGGGCCAATATAAGAAAGCGGCGTATTCTCTTAGATTAGCGGATTCTCGTCTGGATCTCTTCAAAGCTTCAAAATAAACTTAAAAATTTAGACGGAGTTAATGATAATGATACTCATTAGGGTTTATAATAGCAAATATATTCAATTTGGGTTCAAACCCAAATGTTTAGGGATTTAACGGTAGTGACGATTACATGATCTCGAGCAACTCTCTTGAATTTTGTACATAATTTGTGTATTTGGATGTTGTATTTTACCTAATGTATAGTGCAGAAATATCTTGTTATGGTCTAAATCTCATTTTAATCTATATAGTAGTACATATACCATTCATATTCATGTTCAGTGATGCTGGTATTGATTAACAACGATATGGATCATTCAACAATATTAAAGAGTGATTTATGAAGATTATAATGTGAAGAACCTAATGGAGTATATAACTACTACGAGAGTACTAGAAACGTCTCCCTATCTTTGTTACCACCACTATTTTGACGTTAATTTTTTAGCATAGGAACATATTGACATGGGCATGTATTGATGCTATATACTTTGTCGAATATTGGGTGGGCAAATATAAGTCGGTAGATATTTAAATAGAAAAAAGAATTAAAAATTATTATTAATTTTAATTTATTTTGTGTCTTGATTATAATATGCATTTTATTTTGTGGAACGGCCAAAATTGAACTGTAGTGGCGGCAAAATGTATACAAAAAATTAGGTACACCTACAAAAAAAGAGCGACTTGCTACCAAACAATGCCAAAACTAAGCTTTATCTTCTACTAAATAGTTGGTTGGTTAGTTTCCATCAAATATTAATCAATCGATTTATTTCTGATCTTCTCAAGAGAATGAATTAGATGTCTTTGTCGTTGAAATTTTTAGTTACATCAAGTTAAACTTTGAACTTGAATAAAGACTATAGTACTCGTCATTACAATCGAGTTTTCGCATGAGTATCAGTACTATTAAAACTAGGAATGAGAGTATACAGGTGATTTAGAGAATAAAGAAGAGTCTTAAAAAATGGTAGAAAATACTTGTATTTAGTTATAAAATGAATTTGAGATATGAGTACTATCATCCCTATGCTTAAGCCTAGTGATAACGATATAAAATACATAGTTATGAATGAATGAATACCAATTTGTATTTCTAACAAAATGGGAATGTTGACCTTAGGAATCTTCTTCGGCCCCGACCTCAGCCTCGGGATCGACATCTCCCGAACCATCCCACCATGAAACAGGGCCTAATCCATCATAATCAATTGTCCCCTACACCACCAAACAAAGAAAAAAAAACAAACCTTATTAATAGAATAGTTGATGCGTAATGGTACAGATATAATATTGTGCTACAAACAAGAATTGGCCACGGGACGAGATCATTGACCCCTACCAGGTGAGGCAAGAGACCATTTTCCCCCAAAGTCGTCAACTTGAGCATTGTACAACTACTTATTTTTATTTTTTATTTTTTGATAATAAATGATTCATTAAGAAGTCAAAAAACAAAAGAACAACCTAAGGATGGGATGAGGAGGCCCCTGCCCAAAAAATTAACAAAGCAAAGCTCTCAAATCTTGAAGGATTATAGACATGCAGTAGTTACAAAAGAATTTAATATTTCTATGACACCACCAAGAGGCTATTATATTATATGTACACTATTACAAAAAGAATCCAACAATTTAGCCTTGTCATCGAAAGACCGAAGGTTCCTCTTCAGTCAAATATTCCATAACAAAGCTCTACATGCACATTTCCACACTTAAAGCTCCATGAGGTCATGGCCACAACCATTTATTATAGTTGGCAAAACTTGGAAGTAAACTAATGACACCTATCAACAAGAACTAGACTTGGCTTGGTTAGTAATGGCTGCCTCTTGTCTTGGGGGCTTGTTGGCCTTAAACCATCCTCTAAATTAAATCGAAAAAAAACATCCCATCCCCATCTTGATTCAAGGGATTCCTAGCCCCATTAGATTCCAAGTCCGAGAAAGGAGCAAATCCAGACCAAATCATCCCCCAACAAAATATGTGTTTCTAAAATATCTTTTATACTATGTTCAATCCTGAAGTTAGTTCTAGCAACATACTACACTCCACACTCCCACGTAATACTACATACACACGTATATATGAAAAAGATAAGTAGAGGAAATAGTAGAAGTTTAGAGTGAAGTGACATACAGTAACAATCATGGGAGCGAAGGCTTTTACATTACTAGTACTCTCTTTAGGCTGCTGCTCCTCCGTTAGGAACTTTTCATTACTTTCTTTCGGCTGCTCCACTGGAATTGCTGGATACTCTATATTATGTATTCGAAATTTTATCTGTCATTTACCAAAACCCCATAACTAAGCATTCACTATCTCCAAAATTCCCACTCCAAACATAACATTATCATCACAGTCCAAATTATACATCATATGTCCCTTATAAACTTTCATGGTCATGTTTCCATTTAAATTTGAGTTAGTTTTAAATGACTAATGAAAAACTAACGACAAACCTCGTCAGTTTCATAGATATCGTATGGTTGACCATCATAGTCCCAAACCCATCTACGTTTTCCACTGCAATGGATTATACTGAGACTATCATTGAACAGAAATCATTTATATTTGATACAGTGGTTGTGAGGTGCAAACAAGGCATTACCCATTTTTTGAATCAGGCTTGAATTCAGATGGAGTGGGCAAAAGATGGATGGGAACATAAATGTCCTCAAAAAATCCAAGCGATACTGGAGAAAAGATTAATATATATGTTAGAGATTGTTCTTAAAGCCTCCAAAGAGAATTGACACAAAATCTAAATATTCCATTAGTTTCACCAAAAACTTAAACCGAGATGAACCCAAACCAAATATTCAATTATATGAATCATCAAGTTAAAAGCCTAACAAGATTTACTTGTTTCTTAGGTATACATAACAGCTTTACAAAATAAGGTACTTAAATCAATAGTATAGAACAAATTCCCCTTTATAAAATTAATTGTCAATATTTGGTGTGATACTGAAATAACCAAACAAAAGATTTTAGACAAAATTGATATGAACTTATCTTGAGATTGAAAATAAGAAAGTAAAATTGAAACTATATTGCAGTATCCATGAATCGTTGTAATGGATATAGCCTCTTTCAAGAGGGCTACCTCTCCCATAAAATCTAATCCTTAAAATTTTTACAACCCCAAATTTTCTAACTCTCTCTATTTATAATCATCAACAATGAACCAACTTCTAAGCAATTACAAATACACGACTGCTAATATTCCTATGAGTTAGCAAACAAGCCATAGGAAATCAAAGTCAGAGAAGTCTAACAATAATGAATCAAATGCCTCGAAAGATTTACACAAAGAGACCAATCTTAAACATACCCCTGATATGAAGTTAAGTATTATAAGATTAGACTAAATTTCCATCAGATCAAAGGGAAAAAAATAGTCATAGATAGACATATGTTGTTAGGAAACAAGAAAAAAATGACATAAACATACTTCGCAAACCATTTGCATCTGATTCTTTAACTTTTCCAATAATTATCTCCCCCACGTATGGACGAAACACGATCAATGTGAATACGACCTGCCATAATATCCAAATCTAACACTCAGGACCCAAGATTTCAAATGACAAGAATACTAAAAAATACAAATAGTTCATAGATTTATGGATAAAAAAGAGGCCTAAGTTTATAGTTGATTTTGGTTTACAATGCAAGCATACCTTATATGTTGACTTTAGAAATAGAATATATCATACTACATACAACGACAGCAGTAACCAAAGAAACTTCAATATAACGGTTCAATCTTGAAGAAGAACAAAAATGCAATGATGCTAGCACACCTTATATGTTGCAGCGCCATCACTGGGAAAGATAAAGCCCCCATCAACTGATCTTATGTCATAGACAGAAATACAAAGCCCCAAGTTTGCAACCACCTTCATGACGGAGCTTATCTCAGTACAAGTGAAAGTTGGTCACAAGGCATGGAGTAATTCAAAAAGGGTTAATCACCAAGTCTACAAACAAATGTTACACAAATGACAAACCTTATCCAAGAATAGTTTCTCCAGCTCACCCTTAATAGCATCAAGGATAGGTAGGTGAAGCATGCTCGGAGGCACACGTAATGTGTGCTCGATTCGGCTAAGGTAGAACATTTGGGATGTTCTTCAAGTCTAATGGTTCCAACAAAAACACATTCTTTGAGCCTCTGGATTGAAGAAACCAATGCAAAACATCAAAGATGACCAACGTACAGCATTTGAATCAAGAATAAATAGACATGAAAAAGAGAAACTTCGATCCACCCCACCTAATGTGTGAAATTAGAATCTGAACCAAATTACAACTCGGCTTTAACATAACTCAAGGGTCAGATGTATTAAGAGTGAGTTTAGCTTTAGCATGATTTTGGAAGAGTAAAAATTGTTTTAGCTAACTAAAAGCACCTTCCAAATCAAATCTTTCTTGGTGTTTGATTAAATTATTAAAAAGTGCTTTCAAGGGTCTAAAGCAAGTACTTAATTAGTGTTTTTCCTATAACACTGACAGAAAAAATAATCTCAAAATCATACCAAAAACACTATACGGTGAAAAGGCAATACTTAAAACAAAAATGTAGCGATGTGAGAATGAAGCAACGAACAAACAAAATAGCAAGCAGATGACTTCAGCAAAAACAGAGAGTTCATACCAAAAAACAAAGACAGTGGTGAACCTTACAGAAGACAGCGATCAAATAAAACAGAGGAACCGAGGATTGTAAAAATCCAGAAATTTATGCAGCTTTATTCTCCGAACTAAATCCCTACTTCTTCTCTCCTCTTTCTTCAAAATCCGAATCCAATTGATTTTGCGAAATTTCGAATACCTGGAAATACTTAAGGACTAAAATTTTGAGCAAAAAAGAGATGGGGTTGTGAGAGAAGTATGGGAGAGAGAGGGGGCGTGAGACAGAACCGGAAGGGGAGGTATTTTTCAGTCGGGTGCCGATTCTTTGGCTGCTGCGAGCCACAGAAAGAAAGTGGAAGACGGTCTTATGGTGGGTGCCGTCGCCTCCGTCGTCTGGAAGTTCGCGGCCGTCGCCTCAGTCGTCTGAGAGTTCACCGCCGTCGCCTCAGTCGCCGGCAGGAATGGAGGAAGCCGCTGAATAATTTTGGAAGGAAGGGTTCTGAGTACAGCGTCACAGAGTGAGGGTTAAGTCCGAAGGGAAAAAAAAGGTGTTTTTTTTTTTATTTTTTTTCTGAGTAAAAAGACCGAAATAATTATAGCAAAAAACCTCGAACTTTAATGTGACGTTGTGATTTAAAGTTTGTAATGACTCAGTTTTTATTGGAATTTTTTTTCCTTTTTCCTTTTTGTTAAGGTTTTTAATAAGGCAACAAGGGAGTAAATATGTTAATAAATTAGAAACATTAAATTATTAATATATATATTTTTTATAATTATGATAAAACTTGATACTTAATTTTAATAAAATTTTGGTTAAAAATCACATTTGATTCTTGTACTTTCGATTTGGTCTCTGTATTTTTAAAAGTAACGATTTAGTCCATGTACTTCAAATTTGGTTACAATTTAGTTCATAGAGTTAAAAACAATATTAAATTTAACGGAAGTATAATGTGGCTTATCTATGTACAAATTAAAGGCCAACTGTACGGTTCGGTTCACTACAAATTGGTTCAATTTTAGTCCGGATTAGGGCTTAAAAAAAAAGAATGAATCCTCATCTTCTTCACCTGCATTCTTGTTCTTGACCCATTTGAAGCTGGTGTGTCCGCCATTAGTGTTGTTCGAGTTCTGAAGTCCTCAAATCGTCGAGACCCCCAACCAGATCGCCACCGACATTGAGATCTTGCACATCATCTCTCCTCGCCATGGTCGAATTGAGCAGAGGATCCTTCGGCTGGCTTTCTCGGCCAGAGTATAAGAGGGCAATTGAGAGTAATTTGTGGGCTTCTTGATGAGACTGAGATTTCATAGTATGTCAAATCGATGGGAATTGATGTGACATCGATGCTGAAGAATGATCGGTGTTCCAAAATGTGAGTTTCATAGTGGAATTTACAGAGGCCAGGTTAGTGGCGACGACGCTGATGAAATCGGAACCGGCTTGAATTTTGAAGTAATGCTCTGCAATTGAAGGAAATTGGAAATGAAATAACAATAGTGAAATGGAACTTTCATTGTGATTTTAGGCTTCACCGACTTACAAAAAAAAAACATAAAATGAAAGCAGAAACATGGCAGCGACGATGGAGAAACTTGCCAGAATCCTTTGCTTCAGTTCGACCATGGCGAGGTGGGAGGAGAGGGAGGAGGTGGAGTATCTCTATGTGGTGGCGATTGGTCGGAGAGTTTTCAGGTTCCGACGATTTGAGAGTTTGAGAACTCATTGTGAAGAACACGAATGGCGGACACACCCATTCGGAGCTTCAAATGAGTCCAGAAGAAGAATGCAGGTGAAGAAGATGACGATTCGTACATTTTTTTTTCAGTCCTAACCCGGTCTAAGATTGAACCAATTTGAAGTGAACCAAACCGCATAGTTGGCCTTTAATTTGTAACGTCATACTTCCGTTAAATCTAACATAGTTTTTAATAGCAGAGACTAAATTGTAATCAAATTTAAAGTATAGGGACCAAATCGTTACTCTACTGAAAGTACAGGGACCAAATGTGATTTTTAAACTAAGATTTTTTACGATACATACTAAATTGTTACAAATTTTAAATTACAGAGACCAAATCGTTACTTTAGTGAAAGTATAAGGATTAAAACATTACAAAATAAATTTCGGAGACTAAATCATAGTGAAAATACATGGACTAAATGTGTTTTTTAACAAATCATTTTAATTTCCTAAAAAAATTATAATCATTTTAATTAGCCCTTGTGGTTTTTTTTATAATTTTTTTTAAAGAAATTGATAAATATGTTTTTTTTAGAAGTAAGTTCTACCTTGACTAGTTTTTTTAGACAATATATTTTGACTAGTTGAACTACGATAAATATGAGGTAAATATTATGTGAAAAAATAATTACAATAATTAAAATGATTGAGAACCAAAAATAATAAACCTAAAATTTTAAAGACAAAACAAATTTTAAACCCTAAATGTTTTTCATAGAGATAAAATTAACTTTATTTACTTGTATATAAGAGATTGTTTTAGTACAGTTATGTTGGGTGGAGATTGAACTTATAACCTCTAATTTGAGATATATGTCAATTATCGCTGAACTATGCTTTGACTATTTGTATATAATAGATGAATCATATAATCTTCTCATATTTTTAGAAAATGAGGAAGATTATTTTTGTGTATAAGCAAAATCGTCTCTATTACTATGTCATCTTTTCGACCAAGTTTTAGTTTTTATCTTCTAGACTTCCGACTATTGCAAATTTTATGAAGATATTTCTCTTCCATCAATTACTATAAAAACTTTCTAAAAAAATAAAGGTTTCAATACTTCAAGTTCAAATTTAATTTGGTAATGAAAACATCAAAAGGAGATGTACAAGTAGCATTCTCAACTCAAGCATATATATCTTATCACATTACATGAGTTACATTTCATGAGATTTATATTGAAATTATTTGTCAGTTTCCGTTTCTTTTATGGCAGATTTATGCACATAAACTATATTTTGTAGGACTGAATAATCTCGAGAAAGCTGGAGATAAGTGAAGCAAATTAAGAGTATAATCATAGCTTGAGCGAGCATCGAAGATATTACAACACTTATCAAAGCCAAAATACTCTAGAGAACGACACGAGGACACCTGAAAACGTGCCACGACACCTGCCACCGACAAAACAAAAAGTGCCAATTATGGCTAGAGAGGCTAGCACCTAGGCGCCATTCACAGCGCCCCAGACATTTTTTACACCCGCTTTTTACCCATCCAGTGCCATGGCACTCATTTATAAATTACAATACCAAACAACTCAATCACATCAATGAATGAGGAATTTCATTTAAGTACTACACATGTAGCAAAAATATATGATCTCTCGAATTCAGCAGAGAACATTTTGTTCTTACTATATTTGATTTTAAAAACCAATTTGGAGAAACACACAAGTGTTTTGTAATTTGATAGGGAAAAGACTACAATTTTAGAAATATTTTATCCGGAAAAGAAAAAAGAAAGAAAAAGAAACACATGTTTTGCATAAGAAAATATGATAAACTATAAGAAATACCCCTTAACTTTGCATTTTGTTTTTTTAAAAAATATCTCCATCCTATCAAAAATACTTTTTAAACAAACATCTAACTAATATTTTCAACGAAAAGTTGACGTGACAATTCTTAAAATAGAGAAGACGATTCAAGCAAAATTGAGAACTATATGGTAAAATTGGGTAGACAAAAGAGGAAGAAGACTTTTCAAGCAAAATTGGAACTATATCATGTCAACTTCTACTTTAATAATAGACTTTTCATTTAATTATCATGTCGTCATTTCAGATTCTATCATACCAAACTTTCTATTCAAAATATTAGTAGATGTTTGTTCAAAATGTATTTTTGAAACATTATCAAAGGCTAATGTTAAAATGTCTATTTTACCGTCTATGTTTTCAATTTTTGTTCATTTTAAAACTTCCATTTTGATCATTTTAAAAAGTGACTATTTTGGTATCTATTTACAAAATTTAACACAAAATTTTATATACAATAGAAACCATTTAATACAAATTTATAGCTACATTTACATAAATTCAATGAATGAAATACCATGATAAAATTTTGATAGAAAGAAATAAGATAAAAATAAAGATGAAATAACTACAATGGTTGATCACTTTCTAAAAGTGCATAGATCAAAACGAACGTGTCGAACGTATACAAAAACTAAAACGAATAAAAAATTGAAAATATAAGTACTAAACCAACGTTTTGAAAGCATAGACACCAAAACAAATAAACTTATACTTAACCAAAAAAATGAATAAAGGCAGTCCAACGCTCATTGACCCATCTAGGAAAGTTGGCATGAGGAAATGACCAACTCCTCACCAAAAAAACACACACGCACGACAACATATTTCTCTCCAAACACATTACTATACTTTGTTTGTTTGGAAAGACAATAAAAAATTGAATTTCGTGTGGTTAAAAAGAAAAAAGCAACTTTAATTTGCATTAAACTATATATGACTACCTTATGTCATATTCCGCCATGGAAACTAAATCTTCTTCCTTCAATCTTTCATATTCTCATCAGAGAGTTTGTCGTTTCATTCGACCAAAATGGCGTCTCTACTGGTGATGTTGAAGGCTCTAATGGGCGTCTACCGACACGATGACGACGACTCGGGAGAATTTGGAGGCCTTGAGAGGAAGCTTGATGGGATCAAAAATGGAAGTGGGTTGGATTATGAGTTTTTGAGCTGTGGAGGAGATGATGAAGAGGAGTTGAAGATGACATGGAAATTGCTTGCAGAGAGCTGCCTTTGGCCTTGAAAATTAATGATCTTCCAAAACTAGATATATATGTGCTTTTTCCTTGTGTGTTTCCTCATGAAAAATCTACCTCCACAAAATAAACAATAATATTTTTCTTTTCATTTATCAAATGTCTTCATTTTTCAAGAAATATGAGATTCAATGACATGCCTTTTTTAGAATATATTCAATGAAAATTGTGAATAGTAAAAAGGCTACAAAATTAAGTGTCATAAATATTAGTCGCGATTTTGTCAAAACCCAACACAAACGGTAATCATGGATATGTTTTGAGAGTGAAATATTATTTTCCTACAAATTAGGATTGTTCTCTCATATACTTCTATTGGAGGGCAGTAGGTTTTCCTTTTTGTTCACTTCTTTTGTATTGGTAGAGATACTTATATAGGTCTTTTTACTATATTTGTATTGCTTTATACGTTTCAAGTTAATCTATTACATTATAAGTCGACATAAGCTTGTGAAGTTACTAGCATTATATTACTGTAATTCTCTATTTGAGTGAACTTGCGATAGAAATCTGAATGTTTATAATATCAAGAGTCGTGGAGAAAATATGGCGGAGAGAATCCAACGAAAACTTCCCCATTGGGCTCTATTCCCAGCCGCTTGTGGTTTGTGTTGGAAGGATACCGAAAACGTCGTCGATCATCTCTTCTTGCACTGTTCTTTTCATACCAAGGTTTGGAATTATGTGGCAGCTCTCTTAGACCTTTCCTTTTGCCCTCAAAGAAGAATGGATGATTTCATTATGGAAGGCTTTGGTGGCTTCACTCTCAAAGGAAAAGCCTTTATCCTCTGGAATTGTGCAACGGGGGCTCTCCTCTGGTTTCTCCGACGAGGGCTCTCCTCTGGTTTCTTTAAAGGGGGAGAAATAGCATACTTTTTTTTAGGATAAAGGGGTTACGATAGAAAATTTTTGTGTGAATTCGATTATACAAGATTGGAAAACTTCGCGTGGGTGATGGTAGATCTGTTAGTTTGCAGAATTCATTCTCATAATTTTGTAGGTTATTGAGGCTGCTAAGGGAGTTGGTCCCAGCTCACTTGAGGATCAATAATGGTTTGCTGGTTGTGGATCAATGGTATCTGAATTCTTCTTTGTATGTTTCTTAATGGTGAAATTTTCTTTAAGCCCCATGGAAATTTTCAAATATATATGGACTATGGGGGTATCATTATAAGGTTATACACCACTTCAACTCATCGTTCTGCTATCTATGCACTGCTCCAAAACTGGCCTTTTATGACAATTATGAACAGTAAAAAAGTTTGGGAAAAAAAACTGTCACAAATTGTTGGGTGGCGTTTTTTGTAGGAAAAAATGGTACTTTTTGGATTTTTAAAATTTTATGACAGTTTTTTACTGTCACGAAAACTGAAAATTTCTCTTTCATTCCATGATAATTAAAAATTTTCACAAAATTGTCAACTCATCATTCTGGATACCATATGGTTGGTTCCATCATCCATGTTCTTACCAACTAGAACAGTCAATGATAAATGGACGAGTTTTGCCAAAGTGTGTGATGATGATTTCACATAGCCTTTGCTATGCTACAACTACTTGTTCAATATGTTTTCACAAGTGTGCAATGGACCCTTCTGGCTATGCCAACGTCGACTTAACAACAGGTGCTCGTAGAGTTAATAATGGAGTGGTGTCTACGATGATCTACCTAGTTGGTGTTAAGGATTTTATATTGAAAAGACAGGTGACCTAACATAGGTTTATAATAGAGTTGACTACTCCTCGTCAATTGGTTTTGAGATGAATCCCATGAATATTGATAGTTGAGAAACTTTGCAGTTAGGGAAGAAGGCCGAGATATTTTGCTAAAAATAGATGAAGATTACCGTTGGAGGATCTTTCCAGGCTTGGTCAAATGCCACTGAGATTTGATTTTGATTTTCTTTGATTGGTGCTTGATTTCTTCATTTAAGCAAATTGCTTGTACTAACTTGTGATGGAGTTATTTGTGTTGACATCTTCATCTTGGTCTTAAAACTTTAAAACTCTACATATCCATCTATAAATCTCCAAGCATATATATATGTCATAAAAGTGGATTATCTAGAAAAGTAAAATAAGCTTGAGAGTTTATTAATATTTTAGTGGAAAACCGTCCATATTTTTCATATTTGGATACAACACAATGTATCCACAAATTATGATTGGGTTGCATGAATTGTGCAAAATGGAAAGAGTAGAAATTTTAGGACACAAAAGCAAGAAGTTGAAAATTTAAGGGTAAGGGCTAAGAAGCCAAGTATCAGCCTCAACATAGTGAGTCCCAATGAATGGTTGAGCTTCTTCATCTGTCAACTTGTGTGCCCATGGCACTCTCCCTGTCGAGTTCGCACCCGGCCCGCTACACTTGTACTCTCCATAATACACTGTCCTGCAATACATTCATAAGAATAATACTTAGACGTTGACCGATCAATTACCAGTGCGAGAAAAATGTAAAAGGTGGAGCTTTACGAATGGCGTTTTGGGGAGCTCCAATCATTCCAACCCTGAGGAAGAACAATCTTATCCATATAAGTATAGGAGAAGACAACTCTAGAATAGTCTCCCCAAGCTCTGCCTAAGTAGATCTGTCCACTTCCTGTCACAACACTGTCTTTAAATGAAAACCCACTTGCCATTGAAGATTTTGATCTCTTTTGAGCAGTCACAGAGGCCACTTTCTTGGCTATGGAGTTCAACAAGCACTTCTGCACCCATTTCCCAACAAGAAAGGTGAGAACTTTTTAATGGGGTTTAATTATTTGTGAGAGTGAATTAAGTAATTTAACCTCATAGAAGGACCTTCCATAGCCAAATATGAAGTCCACTGAGCCTTGGATGTAGCAACTGTTGAAGTAATGAAGACCCTTGTGGTCATAGAGTGTGTCTTGATCCCCATAGAAGCTGCAGTTGTGAAATGCAGCTTTTGTCCCTGATATTCTTAGTGCCACTCCTTGTCCTTTAACCGATCCGATCTCGTGTGTTGCTGTGTTCTGCAATTAGGTGTATAAGTAAAGACAGCGTCTCCTTCGAGAATCTTTAACGTCTCGTTGTTATAATTGTTAAATCACCAATCCAAAAGTTTAAGTCGATAGGTTATAGTACATTTAATATTTATAAATACTCTTACACTCTCGTTCACTTGTGGGCTTGAAAATTAACACAATGTCCAAATTGAAAAGGAAATGTTATTTGAAGGATTCACACACAAAACATATTGTTCTAATACCATGTTAAACTACCCATTAGATCTAAAAGCTTTATTCGATGCTTTAACACTCTCCTTCACGTATGAATTTTGATAATTAGCATAAGCTAGCCCGATATTGGGGAGGGAATTAGTTTTATTTTAGAGATTTGAATGCAAGATATCTTGCTTTGATATTACAATAACTACCATCATACCCAAAAACTTAAGCCGGTGAATTGTGGTAAATTTAATCTTCTATCAATACTTTAACACTAACTTAATCTAGGGTTCTAGTCATGTTTTAGTGCATATTGTGTGTTAGGGAAACAAAGGAGAAACTTTTCATTCCTTTTCAGGTTTTTGGTTTTGATTTTCTCATGTCCCAAGTTGCTTTGGATTCGACTTGTGAAAGTTTGTGTTGTTTGTGTCTCTTTAAAAAAACCCGTGAGTTTTTTTTCCTCAAGTACAACGTGTGTGGGGTGAGGGATCAAAGTCACAACCTCATAGTTATAGATATATGTCAATTATTGCTGGGTTGAGAAACCCGTGAATTATACTCCAAATTACAGTAAATTTAACATCAGGACTTTTTTTTGGAATGTCTCAGGAAGTAAAAAGAATCTTTTACCTCAAACTTTATATTGATAGCTACAAAGTAATTGGCATCCACAGAAACCGTTGCACTCTTCAAAGTTCCCAATGGTATCCCGTCGTCTCCGGTCACCGACGCCGTGTCGTTTCCGATAATGGTAGGTGGGTTGCTGGCGTTTCCGAGAAACGTTATGAAGGGAAGAGTTCTAGGAATGTTGATCTTCTCACTAAACTCAAAATCCACATGATTACACCCTTAGTACAATCTTAGTACAATAATGCATGTTTTAAATTTCACTAACTACATGGTACATAATCTTTAGCAAAGAAAAAAAAGTCACTAGAACCGTGTTGGCTTCGCCATAAAGTTCTATAAATCTTTACCGATGAAAATGAATTTGATGCAACAAGTCGTTGTTACTATATAGTCACCATTGAACTTTAGAGACGTTTTTAAGAACCACTTTTAAAACACGAGCTACATAACAAAATGTACCTATAAACTCCTGGATTGATAACCAAAATGACTCTCTTATTGTTGGGTTTGGGGATGCTATGAAGAGCTTCTCCAATGCTCATGAAGTCGCCCGTCGCGTCTTGGCTAACAATTATTCTCACTTTATTCATTTCAGCCTTCCTTAACTTATCGTCAAGAACAACTGCACCGCTGCCACCGATGCCACCGAACCTGCCAAGCTTGGCCGCCGACGACTGTGCTTCCATACCGGCTAGTTTCTTCTTGAAATCTTGAAGGTTCCATGAAACCCAATTCTTGTAGTCCCTTTCCTCAGTTTTCAGTGAATAAGATTGGAGGAATAAATTAAACACAAAAAGGAGAAGAAGTAGAGTAACTTTGAAGAAGTCACTTCTTGTAGCCATGAGAATATGCCACTTTTTTTTATACATAAAACTCAAGAAGAAGATTATCAATATATATATTGTAAGAGATATAGGATCCAATTGGCAGACCAATCACATGGCTCCATGAAGATTCCACTAAGACTATAGGACCCAATATTGGAGGGCCAATTTCAATTTGTTGGGTACAGATTGTTGCAACTTAGAGTCTCTTGAAAAGATGTGGACCAAAAACAAGAATCCTGTTTGTATTATTTCCAAAAATTTCTGAGAATGTTTCTAAAAAATGGGAAATAAAAAACCTAAATAATTGTAAAATGTTTAGATTTCTTAATAAAATTGAAAACGAAAAAACAAGAAACGAAATCGTCATCAAACGTGAGTCACATTAGTAATCGTGATTGATATTGATGCTATACACAGCTGTTTTCCATATTAAATGTCACAAAATGCTTATTGATATGTTCTATAGGGTCACCCACTCCTACATACGTGGGGCAATGCTATAGCCTATAGGGAATTGAACTCTCATGGCCCTTGCTTTTTAGACCTATGTGCCCTTCAAATATATATTTCCACTTCCAACTCAAGTAGTAGTTGGAAGGCAGCTGACTTTTCAATTGGTAACAACGCCCTTCTCTATCATTATTGAGAGCTTATGGTTCGAGGGTAATGGATATCTCGTCTCGTGTTTCGTATTTCTATGAAGACCGTTCGTACTTCTAGTCAATATGAGACTATATTTGCATTTATAAAAATCATCTCAATACCGAACTGTTTAACAATATATTAAAAATGTTGGATTTATTATGAGAATTATTTTGGTAACTATTTATTGTTTCTAGTTTTTTTATTTAAAAAAGAGACATAAATAATCATTTCTTTTGTTTCTTGTTCCTAAAATTTTGAATTAGAAAAGTAAAAGTTAGGTATGAAAATTATAAATTAAAATTAAATAATAACAATTTTATGTTATATTTACTATGTATTTTATAGGTAAAAAATTATAAAATAAGACTTTTATTTATGTTTTGGAAAAAAATTTTTGGAAATAGAGAGAATAAACAAGAAACTTGATTTTGTTGTTTTCCTAATTTGTACACAATTCTAAAAACGTTTCTTTAAAAAGAGAATAAAGAAATAGAAAAAGTTAATCAATGTTTTATGTTTCTCAAAACTTGAAAATAGGAAATAAAACGAAATGTTGTCAAATGGGTCTTTCAAGTCTTCGTAATTATATGATATTATCTATTTTAATTAGTTTACTGTTTGTATACCTAAAAAGAAAAAAGTGAATATAGCTCTATAATAATTAACATATATCTCGAATCACGAAGTTGTGAGTTGTATACCTAAAAAGACTTTTGGACCGATGGATGTACCTATATTGAAATATTTAATGTAATAATATTATAGGTTATAGGTTGAAAATTTCCCTCTTATTCGTAATAATGAAATATTCGAGAGAGAGAGAAGAATAAAAAACATTAATATTGTGAAATGTGTCATGTGTGTGACGTAAAAATCCATTAATAAAGAAAAACAAATATTGAGATTAATATAAAATATTTAATTTTATTATTGGGGTTGAGTGGAAATAGTGGTCATGATGAGGTAAGCATGAGAGCATGTACCCCTTTGTACGAAGTCCTCTCTTATTTTTGTAAATTAGAAAAAAAAGGGAAAAAAATTATATATATATATTTTTGTTTTTGTTTTTATATCATCATTTCGTAGGAGAAATGGGACCTTAATTTCAACCCCAAAGAAAATCACACTAAGAACTATTTCACAATATACAATATGTGGGGGCGGGATCGAATTCACAACCTCTTAGTTAAAGATATATGTCAATTACAGTTGAGTTATACTCGTTTTGGCTAGTATTGCATTGAATTACTTTAGAGTACCACCATTGTCTAATTTTGATTTTCGAATATATTGAATCTCATCATTTGTCACGTCTAAACAACATAAAGCGTTTTTTATGAATTGACTTTGGGGTTTCTACAAAGATAATTGTTATGGTTTCCATTATATTAATCAATTGGCCATTAACCCTAGAAAGTAAGTGATTTGGAAAGGAAAAATTTTCAAAGGGTTGGAAGGGGAATTTTTATTAGTTAATATTATATATTGAGATTAATTAAAATAAGTTGACTTAAAGAGTCTAAAAGAGGGGAGACTGATTAATGAATTAATTTGCTTGCAAAACCAAAATTAGACTTTTTTTTTTTTTTGGTTGGTTTCAAGGATTGCGGCATTTAGTGGCAATCAAAGGTAATTAGTTATTAGTTAACCTCTTCTCTCATCTTATTTTTGTAGCGTACGCATTTCAAGTTCATCCTTCTTTACCCCTTTTCACAACTCTTTCATAAATTTTATTGGATTTTTTTTTAACCATAGGTTAGAATTTGATTTAATTTTAGATTAAACTCGTCAAATCAAACCGAACAAGAGATGTATGATTGAATTAGAATGATTGGTTTTGTTACAGATGAAAGTACTATGCTAGACTCATTTGAGATGAGGATAAAAAAGCGACGGGATCAAACCGCCCTGATCAAGTTGATCGGGTCGGATCACCCGATCCGGTTGAGTTAGTCTAACCAAACCAATTTGAGGAGACTCCCTTTATAAAAAGAGGAGAGACCTGGAGTGCGAGTTACGCTTTATACACAACTCTAATCTTTGCTCAACTGAACCATTTGTTTGATTTATGTATTAAAGTGTGTTGCACTTAGCACCATACGGGTATGATGTGCAAGGACATCTTAATAATATTGATATCTTAGCTTACTCATTGGATCTTATATATTAATTTCTATTTACACAAATTTTCGTCTCCGAATAACTTTTTCTCTCAAATCTTTCCCAATATATCTTTTCTCACTATTTTTTTTCTTTCTAACCTCCGCCCTCTCACTATACATATTTTTGTATACATTTTTATTATAACATAATTTCCTTGTAATTATATGTATAGATTTGTGTGTAGATATATAAATTTATAGTATGTTATATTGATATGTTACATCCACCATAAATAAATTTCGTACAAAGATGTACAATATAAAAAAGATAGGAAAATGAACATAATATTCTAATGTTATGAGTGAGGATAGAGACGGAGCCTCGTGTGATATATTCTATGTGGTAGCGAAGACCAACTCCACTATGGATTCGTGACAAAAGGATAATAACACTAATATGGTAGGATATACAGGTGGTTCTGCAGCGCGTCTTGCAACAGCACAACTTGCAGTGCGATTGTGGCGACATGTGACGGTAGTTATGAAACCACGTGCCAAGAATGTTCCTTAATGATTCGTTAGAATTCGTATGCGGGTAGGACTCGTCACATCCCATGCTGGACGACCTCTTTGGGATCCCCATCACCTAGAGAGGAATCCCCCTTTACAAATATTCTCCTTTCTCTATATCTCTACAAAGGATATATATTTGGTAGGGCACCTCATTAGTATCGAGGTCTGTTATTGTAGGAAATCCCGTTGAACGATGAACAGTTAGACACATCAACGTACCAAATTTCTACATCTAACATCTTATATTCTTAATTATAATGATATGATCCACTATTTCCAAAAATAAAGATGGGGCAAAAGGGTAAACAAATGCCTTAAAAAGGTCATATACAAATTAATTTGTCCAACCCTAATCTTATTTTAAATATACAAGAAGTAATTGCTCACAACTCTACTACTATCACCTAATGGGCAATACTACAAAAATACATTATTTGTATGATTTGATTTAAGATAGTGATATATAACAAAATGGCTACATTCCTTCACTCTCATGTTAGATAATACAAGATTTTGGAATTTTTTTTCTAATTTTTTGAGTACACAAGATTTTGAATTTATCAATATTCCATCAATATAGTAATCTTTCTTAAGAAATTAGGCTTATCTAACCATTTAAAGTGATTGAACATAGTTTAATCTACTAGTTAATTTAGGGCAATTTGGTAATGTTGCTATTTCTTATTTTTTTGTTTTTTTTTTCAATCAAGAAAAATAGAATTATGATTTGTAACTACATTTTGTTTATTGTTCTTTCTTTTATATTGAAAAAATATAGAAACATGTTTAGTAACTATTTCTTATTTTTTTTTTCTAAAGTTTTATATTTAAAAGGTAAAAGTTTAATAATCAAAATTTATGTTATTTATATTGTTTAATTTATTATGCATTTTATAAATAAAAATGGTAAAATTATGCTCTTTATCTTTTTTTTTTTAATACAACATTGTGGGATCAAGATTGAACTCACACTTTTTTACTTGGACTTGTTTGGACAAATTATGTTCTTATATGAAACATGAACAAATTTGATTTATTGTTGTGATTTTAGAAACGTTTGACCAACAAAAAATAGGAACAGTTACCTGAAGAATGGGAAGCCACCATCAACAGATTTTTGCCTCAAATGTTTTTTTAATCACAATCACGTGTCTTAATTTAGAGAAAAGGAAAAATATAGCTTTACTAAAACAATATTTAATGCAAGAATATATTATAAAAGGTATACTATACTATAATATGTGTATATATACAAAATAAAAAATTTTAATTCTCGTACTTTCAAATTTGCATCTAATGTGTTTCTACAATTAATTCTGTTTATTTACATTTATCTAAATGTGCAAAATAAGATAGCCACCATTTTATATAAATATGTTAAAAATAAAGACGTAATTAACAATAAAGATCTATAAATTTGATAATAAAATAAAGTAGTATTGAAAGTTAAAAGTTTATTATTAAAATTTTTCTAATTAAATTATAGAGACTATAAACAAACAAAAGTACAAACACACTAATTGTATTCTAAATAAAATGTATCTTCACTATTAAATATAATTTAAAGGCCAATCTATTTTAAAAGACATAAACCTAAAATATATTTAACATGATTATATAAAATAATTCTTAAAAAGAAGATGATTGTATAAAATAAAAAAAAATAAAAAAAGGTGTAGAGAGGTCACGTTTTAATGATTTATTTTATTTGTAAAAAAGGTGTCATAGTCATTATTTATTTTAAAAAGTCCATTTATTTAAGAAATCATTTGATATAAAATAAATGTTTCAAATTAAGATTTTTTTGGGAGATAGGGGATTAAAAGACTACATCTAATGTGGTTGTCCCTATAGGGCTAAAATCATTTACTTTTTTTATCTTAGATTAAAATAATAAATTTTAACACCATGTCTAAAAAAAAAAAAAACGCTTTCTCAGTCCTTTTTAAGTTCCACCCATACTTTTCTTCAGCTCGAAAGTATTAAATAATATTTGTTATAATTCATTTTTTGAGATGGAAAATATTTTTAAACCAGTTATATTCGAGGAAACATTACTGTAACATAGTACAACTTTTTAAATATATACTTGGCTGTGCATTAAACTTTTTAATAATTTTTTCTCTATTTTTTCTCTCCCTAAACTTTCCACTCGTCTCTTTTTCTCTCAACTGATCATTAGATTCGTGTAACATTGATGTGGTTAGCAATTTTTAATCAAACAATATCCACGGATGATATGAATCAGTATATAGTTATTAAAATTGACGTGAATTAAATAGAAAACAATCGTAAAAGACCAAGTGTATAATTTAACATAAGCTTTAATTTATAAACTTACAAAACTAAATTTTTATCAAGCCTAGTGGACATCATAAGCTGTCAATGTTGCTTGTTTTTGTTGTCTATGTATTTTTTTAGCCTACAATTCTAATTTGTCAAGTCATTCATTCCCCTCTTTATATATTTGCCGTCACGTAAGCAAATTCAAATTTGGGGGTTTTAATCTAATCTCTCCCCCTCTTCTTTCCTTCCCCTCAAACATCATCACCAAATTGTTGCTGCAAGAACCACAAGTCTTCTTCATCCCAAAATCCGTCGTCCAATGACTCTCCGCCACCTATCCACCCATTCACCGCCACCCCGTCACAGCTATGTTCCATTAGCATTACCGTCCCGTCGTGATCCTCGCCAATACCGACGAGATTGAAGTTCTCCGTCACGTCTGAAACTGGCGAGACTTGTGGTTGGACCTACATTAAGAATATGAATAAATAAATGATTAAATATACCGCAATTAGCTTAAGATTGGAGTTAAAAATATCAATAAATTAAATAAGCTAATTGGAGTTAAAAATATCAATAAATTAAATATATATCTAGACTTATAATTTTTTTAGTTTTTGAGTTGAGTGGTTAGTTTTAACAACCTGATCCGATCCGGAGTCGGATGATGAAGTTGCGGGAGCCAAATGAGAATTGACCCAAGCGGAGTCGGAGGGCGACGGGTGGGTCCTGTCGAGGAGAGGGTGCGGTGGTTGACCGGGATCGGTAGCGGCAGCGACGGCGACGGTGTCGGTTGAGGCTTGGATTCGTTCGAGCAAACGGGGGATCCACACGTATCGCATGGTGTCTCGGAATTGCTTGCTGTTCACGTCACACTTGAGTTGCTTGGCTTGCTTTTGGACTCTCGTTCTCCAGTAATTCTTTATCTCATTGTCTGTTCTTCCCGGTAAATATTGCGCTATTTTGGACCACCTGTTCCATTTCCAAATTTAATCATTATTTTCCCCAACTTTAAAGTTCCCTTCTTGACCCCATCAAGAAATTCTTGAAAGAAAAAATAACCTCATTTTTCATCTGGGTTATTTAAAAACCTCCACTTTTGATCTGGGTTATTAAAAAAATCCATTTTTAACCACAACCCCAGATGAAGAAAAGAGGTAAAAAATTCAAAATTTTGATCACAGCCACCCACCTGTTTCCCCAGCGAAAATGGAGCTCAAGAATCAAGAGCTGTTCTTGGAGGGTAATATTGCCACGCCTAACGCTGGGCCTCAAGTAATTTAACCATCTCAGTCTGCAGCTTTTACCAGTTCTCTTCAAACCTACACGGATCAAAAAAAAAAGAAAGAAAATCAAAATAAGTTTGAAGAAAAATAACTTCTGAAAATCACTCTCTAAGAAAATTTCTAGTTCGGCCCTTGATCCGCGGGAGGTTATACTAACCGGTGGAGCGAGCGACGGCGTTCCACCGGCCTTCGCCATGGGAGCGAATGTAATTGAACAGAACGGAGTCTTCCTCCGCCGTCCAGGGGCCCTTCCGGACCTCCATCTCCTCCTCTTCTTTCATCATCTGAGAATCTGCAGACCTAAAACCACCCCTCATTTTATCCAATTCAGAAGGAAAAGAAAAAAAAGAGAGTGAAAGGAACAATTTTGGGTTCAGAATCCAAGTGGGATTTTTGAGAAAGGGAAAAGAGAGAGAAAAAAGAGAGAGAAAAGGGTATGATGAGACTATCTATCTATCCATCTATGGTTTGATTATGTGTGTGTGTATATATATATAGGATTCTGTACAAAAGTAGCATGTGTGTGATTGGTGATGTAAAATTAAAGTTTTAATTACTTCATTATCTCATTAATTAAGAGATTAATTAATATATTTTATTGATAGTGTAGTTGTTTCTACCAATTGTCACACAATCTATCTGCGCTATCCCAACACTTCTCCTCCTATTTAGAAAGGGAATTTCCTTAGGTGGATGGATCAACTCAATTCGGTGGTGTGATCGGGTTGGTCCAACCTAGTCAAATCTAGACGGCCCCTCTTCTTCTCATCATATTAAAGGGGTGCGGCTCTGTATGAGAGTACTACTAATTGAAGAATCAAACTGTATCAATTGTGATCTAAACCAAGATCTTGATTCATGTCGTTTCTAGCCTCGCCGGAACAACACTAGTACCGTAATTTTACCCATAATAGATATAATAAAATATTTGAATTTGAAGGATATGGATCTTTAATTATGTTGACTTGATTTGAAAAAAAAGGGGTATGGTACTTTTAGTGGAGTTGACCCTTTGACTTAAAATTGCCATTTGGCAAACCCATATGGCAACTTTTGGAAGGAGTCTAATAACGGGACATAATAGAAGAGGGGGGAAAAGAGTGAGTCCAAGTCTTCTTTCCTTCTTTATTTGATCAACTTATCAAAATTATTTATTTATTTTTATTTTCTTGCCTTTTTCCTTAAGATATTTTTGATTTGTTCATTTGTTTGAAAGTCAGGTTTGCTATATGTTTTAGACCATGTGAGTGTGTCAAATAATGATGGCAATAGTCTAAGGTTTTCACAACCCAATACTAAATACAAGACCATAAATTAATATTAATGGTGGATTCTCTATAATATTTTTGTTATTTTTAAAAGTTTTATTTTTGGGTGGTAAGATGTTATTTTCTTTGGGGTTGTTTTCCTAACAAGATTCGAAGTTTCTATGAATAAAAAAATACTTGATTTTCTATCGATAGATACTATATTCTATATATATTTCATTTTTCTTTGATGTTACATTGAAAGCTATCGATTTTTACCTCATGTAAAAGAATCTTGATCGATTAACCTCTTTTATAGAACTATATATATGTTATTTGAGTGTTTGATGTCAAAAACAACAAATCAAAGAAAGTTAAAAGAAAAAGAACGAGTAATTAACAGGTATTCATTTTCAGCAACATAACATATAATTTGTTCGAACCTTTGATGAAAAAATTTTGGACAAAAGATTCAAAATTGGTGTTAGGTGAGCAAGAAATTGCAATTGCAGTAGTAATAAAAAATTAAAAAAAAAAGTCAATAACTGGCTGGTACAACTTTGACTGTTGGGCCAATTTTTCTCATGCCCTCCATTGACAAAAATGTAACAATACATAGAGCATTAACCCTTCAAAGTTCGTATGCATGAAAGCTTAACCTAAGCAGTATATGATATCTACTGCTTTTTTGAGGTCGGGAAAGTTCAAATATCATATTTCACATTTGTTGTATTAAAAAAAAAAACTCCAAGACATAAAATTTTAATAGAAGTTTCTCTTTTAAAAATTATTCAAATGTGTCTGTCATAGTATAATTCTCACTTCCGTAACCATTAAATTTGTTGGAAGTCATTTATCACATACCACGTGTGACATCTATATTCTAGGTATGAGCCAACCTTTTAAGAACACCTACGGGTGCGAAGACAATGAGGATTCTCTCCAACAACATACCGCGTTTCCTGAAATGTCGGAGAGTCATTGAACCGCTGTCGGAAGTCCTGTCGGAGTTCATCTCTATAAATAGAGATCCCCACCTCCCTTGCAAGGTAAGCGAAATTATTCTCACTTTGAACAATAGATCGGATTGAATACTAACTTTCTCGTCGGAGTGCTAACCATGTTTTGCAGGTACCTCGAACGTTAGCACCTCTCATCCGAGCTTGATCATTTTTTAGATCAAACAAAATTTATAGATTAAAACAATCTTAGCCTCTGTACTTTCTGTTTTTGGTTCATTTTTAGTCTATGTAATTTTCAAACATTTGTTTTGACCCCTTAATTTAAACCTATAATTTTTTTTTTTTTTGTTCCATCTTACATTTCCCCTTTCTCTCTCTCTCTTTCTCCAAAAAGGAATATCCAAATTCCCATTCTCTCACTTAAAAGACCATTGGGTGGCAAAGTAAAATCTCTAAAACTTTAGGAAAATAATAGTCAATTGAAGACTTGCCAAGAATATTTCTTTAGTGCCCCTTTAATTTAACTATTCCAAATTTTTACCCCCAAAAGAGAGACTAGAAGGAAGAGATGCCAACAATTAGTG